ACCCTAAAGTATGAAATATACAAGCACAAACTAAAACAGCATAGGATTCAAACAGACAGCAAAATCCAGGATCAACAGGCAGTGTGTGGTGTGCAGCGGTTCGGCGCAGCCTGCATGCGGCACCGTTGCTCCTGTGTATGCAGGTTATGGCTAGACTGAACGACTTCTTTACTATTTCTGAAGTGTGATATATCTGCTATTTTGTACAGATCCTACCTCATTCTTTGTCCCCGTTCCCCCCTGCTTTTTTTTTGTTCACCTTACTAGATCAATGTAGGTTCTTTGATGTTTCCTGTGATACATTGAGGCTGCTTCTATGCCTGGGTTGTACAGTCAGCATAGATGGTGGTCAGGATAACATGAACAGAAAACATGTCATTGTTTAAATTGTTTGCCTACCTATACCATCCCCAACTATACATACCTCAAGCTCAAGATCCCTCTTTGGTCTACTGAGAACAACTTCATGTTCTCAGCAAGCAGAACAGAGAACGAAAATGCTGAAGGTACACTCCTGGAAATGAAATTAGGAACATCAGGAGGATGCCCAAAGCAACAAGACTCTAAGAGAGTAGCACATCCTGGGCCAGCGTTTGGTAGAGAATGTGAGATGCAATCAGTTAATGCTTCTACCACCAGTAAAGGGAATGATGTGGGGACTGGTGATCATGGTATGGTCTTTGCTAATCCATTACAAAATGAAAATGAGGATCTGCGTACACACATAGTGAATTCTACAATAAAGTTAACAGAATCTTGCAACTTAAATGGTAAAATTGAAAACATGGTGCCAACGAAGAGCAAGGGTGAAACATTGGCTCTTCTGAAACCACCAGATGGCAAACGAAAGGCTCCCTGCTTATTTGGAATGCTAACACTGCATTCCAAATCACAAGCCACATATTTCAATGATTCCATATCTCCGGGCATTTGTTCGTTGGGTGCGTAGAAACAGTTCACGACTAAAACTAATACTTTGTACAGTGGTACAAATCATGCATCAGGTGAGGCTATTATGAGATAATCTATCTTGGAGCTTACTCTTCTGGTACATCTGCAAAAAGCAAAACCTATTTACCAGGGTGTTTGTGTTGAAAGTTTTACCTCATAATGCCACTAAGAAAAAAAATAGATTCAGTCTCATTGCAAAACTGTAATAGCTTTACTCACTGTAATGCTATTTATATATTTGTTCTTACTTCTTTGTAGGCTTTGTGTCATCATCAACACACAAGGTACTATACCAGCCTGGTTTTTGCAACCAAAGGGGGTAGTCCTCACAAACCATGGAATCATAAAACTTTATCTAACTTCATGCATGTAGTACACGTGAGGCAGATAGAGCTTTATTTTCCTCCATGCAATCTTCTTTTAGTTTATGTAATTTTACCAAGTCATTGTGCTATCCTGCATATAGAAAATTATGAAACTAATTCTTACACACACAAAAAGCCTGAAATTTAAAACGTGCATAATGCAAAACACAACCAAAGCCTGAAATTTAAAACGTGCATAATGCAAAACATAACCTCAGTCTCTACAGTGTTTTGCCTTACGATATGTTGGATACCTTTCCGCTCGTTCCGCATTCATCATGAAGAATGACATCGTAAAAAGTTATGTCATAACTTGTACTCCGTCTGTTCCAAATTATAAGACGTTTTGCTATTTCTAGATGCATCACTTTTGCTATGCACTTACATGTACACTATGTCTAGATACATAATAAAAACAATGTATCTAGAAAAGTCAAAACGTCTTATAATTTGGAATGGAGGGAGTAGTTCTCATTATTTTATTGTGAACAGCTTAGAACTTTTCCACAGGACTCTGGTTCTCCAAACATTGCAAAATCTGAGCAGATAGTAACTTCATCTATCCAAGGAGTTTCAAGCTGCAGTGGAGGAAATAAAACTCTGAATGTGAGTGCAGAAAATTACAAGTCTTGTCCGAAAGAAACATGCACCAATAAGAAAGAATGGAGCATGTCAAAGACATCAAGCATGAACATGGATCTAGTTCTTTTTCAGATGAGCAGAATGACAAATCCAATTTCCAGTGCTCTAATTGAGTCAGCAGTATGTTTGGAGCCAAGTGACAAGTGGCTCAAACGTCTGCAACATGATATCTTAGATCATCATTTGCCTTGTTCCAAGAGATCAATGGTTGGGGATGGCCTGCCACCGGAACGAGCATGTACCGTCTTTGGTCAAGAGGTTAATTTTGATATTAAAAAAGCTGACGTAATCAACCAGGCAAAGGAGGTCCAGCTAAGGTATGGAAGATTGATTAACAAACAAAACCTAAAAGGCTCTCATTTCGGCAAAAAATCTTAACCGTTGGATAGGAAGATGGTGCCAAGGTAGTGCCCCTATTTCCCATGGTGCTTCAAATGCTGAAAACGAAACTCAAATGCTGAAAAGGAAAACTGAAGTTTAATACGCCACCTGATGGTCTTGAAGGTCAGTTTCCAAGCATTGCTGCAATGGCAATGACGGGGCGAGCAATGAACAAGCTGCGACCGTGTGAACTTCAGAAAAGGGGCCCTTCGGTAGCGTGGAAGACACAGGGGTTTGTGACAGTTGAGAAAGTGTGCTCATCTTTGTTCTGCGCATTAGCTATTTAGCTCTCGCCTGTCAGCAGATATCTACGGGTAAAAAGATTGCTACACTAATATAACTGTCAAACTGTGACTACCATGAGTGAGCATATGTGTTTTTTAATCATGTTTGTGAAGTCATTAGCTATTTAGTTTCTTCGTCCTTTTTTTGCCTCTTTTAATTGTAGTATAATGGTTGTATGATGCATTGATTTTTTGTGAAGTTCCTTTTGTGTTCCATGAAACACAAGATTGCAATATTAATGGATCTAAACAAGCGTGCCTTTATCCTTCCTTGAACAATGTTGAACAGCACCAGTGTAACTTGGTAGTATTTGTAATACGATTTTTGCCCTATAATTCCACTGTAGTCGACGCTAGAAAGGTCCTATATGAAATATACTGAAGTTTATTGCGATAAATTTTCCGTTCTTTTTTTACTTTGTTTCATCAAGTTAGTTTCGGTGTAAATATGCAAGTGTATCACAAAACAAACTCTGAACAGATATTACTTTCGTCTGGAAATAACTATACCTTCTTATTGTTAGGAGAAATGGAGCTCACTCCATTCCAGAGGCAACAACCCAAACATGTACATGAGCTAGGCATATATGCATTAGGCCCTTACACAAAGAGGAAAATATGCTATACAACATATACATCTAACACTCCCCCTCAAACTAAGGGTGGACCACGAAAACTGAGTTTGGAACGAACTGATGCTGGGCTCTCGTCTGTGCCTTGGTGAAGAAGTCGGCCAACTGAAGAGTAATGACATCATCCTGCACTTGTGCCCGAGTGTAAGACACATCAACACCGATATGCTTGGTGAGCTCATGCTTCACCGGATCACGAGCTATGCTGATAGCACTAGTTCTGTCAGACAAGAGAGGGCCGGGGTTGGCACAAAAACTAAAACATCGAGATTCTCAAGCAACCAGTGCAACCAAGTAACCTGGCCTTATACCATGTTAGATTTCATGTACCAACTAGATGAACCCAAAAGCTTAAGCGATTAGGAAGAGATGGGCAATCCAATAATACTTCACAACACTCCCACTCACGTGCAACCAGAATAAGACGTAAACGTGGAAATAAAGAAGGGAGCGGATGACTTAAAAGATTCTTCTACCAGGACTCGAATTCGAGACCTCTGGCTTTGATACCATGTCAGGAGGAATGGAGCTCATTCTATTCTAGGGGCAACGGCCCAAACATGTACATGAGCTGGGCATATATACATATAGGCCTTTATACAAAGAGGAAAAATATGCTATACAACATGTACATCTAATACTTATCTCCGGTCTTAGTTTCCTTAGGAAGATCACTGCTTTTCTCATGCTCGTCTGTTTTTGCCATCTTTCTCAATCTCCTCTCCTCTAGTTGTGAATCTTAAGGGCTCCTTTAGATCATAGGAAATTTACAGAAATTATGTACAGTTCATTTTCACATGGAAAACACAGGAAACATGATTAAATCCTAAGCGATCTCATTTCAATCTCATTTCGATTTCGATGGTTGAAACATGAACCAAACACACTAGTGGCTTGCCTTGCCCCTGCCATGTTGGGTATTTTTTGGAAGCCCTATTGGGTTGGGTGGCAGGCCACGGTGGAAGCATGACATGAGTAAGATGAGTAATTGGAGGTGGTGGGCCCAATCACTATTCGGTGCAGCGCGTCGTCATTAACCATAACCACACACACGACGCGTGCATAATCAAAATGGAGGAAGAAGGGGACGGGGCAAGGCGGGTGATGGCGGGTGATGGGCAATGCGCGAGGCGCCAGGCGCCATGGCGGCAGTGGGTGGGCAGGCGGCGGCAGTGATGACGACGACGACGGAGGTTAGGGTTAGGGTTAGGCCTCTCTCTCTCTCTCCCTCCTCGGACATTTTGGCCGGCCGGCCTAGCGGTGGGCGTGACACAGCGGTGGTGGAGGGTTGGCCGGTGGCAGCGAGGTGGCGGCAGCGCCGCCGAGCGGGCGAGGTAGGCGGCGGGGCGAGCGCCGGCAAGGTTTGGGGAGGGCGGGCTCATCCGGCAGGGGCCGGAGGTGGGCAGGGAGGTCACTGGCGGCCTAGGCGGTGGTCGAGATGGGCGGGGGAGGGGACGGCCGGGGAATAAGATGAACAGTGGGGAGGTGAGGGAGAAGAGAAATAGTGTGCGCCAGTAACCGTCTTGGCGCGCGCGTCGAGGTAGAGTCAGGTGGTGGGCCGTGTGAAGCAAAATCAACTAGTCTGTTACTATTTGGCCTTTAGAAATACTGCCACGCCAGATTACCGGGCCGTCAGCTACCCATAAAAGTATCGGCCCGCCGAAGTCCACCTAGTGGCTACCGATCTTTTCCTTCCAGCCTCAAATCCCATTTTCCCCATCCAAACAATCCCCACGAGGGGAACCATGGCGCGGTACTCCCCACCGTCGCTGCGACGCTTCTTCCACTGCGCCGCCAGTTCCGCCTCCCGAGCCGGAGGCAGCGGCACTGGGAAGAAGAACCTTGTATTCTTGGGATCGCCCCAGGTACTACCGCGCCTGCAGAATCCCAGCTTCTCGGTTCGTACTCAGGTTTTGGTGGTCTTATTACTGAACTCGGACCGCACCTCAGGTGGCCGCGTCGGTCCTGGACAAGCTGCTGGGCGCGTCCGGCTCCCCGGAATCCGCATTTAAGGTGGCTGCCGTCGTGACGCAGCCGCCGGCCGCCAAGAACAGGGGGAGGAAGCTGATGCCGTCGGCCGTCGCGCAGTTAGCGCTCGACCGCGGGTTCCCAGAGGAACTCGTCTTCACGCCAGAACGAGCCCGGGAGGTACCTTCCTGACAACTACTCTCGAGTCTTTCTTGGTGCTCCTGTAAGGCTATGGAGGACTTGGGTTCTAGTGATTTCTGGAGCAATGCAGGAGTCGTTCCTGTCGGCCTTGAAGGGAGTGGAACCGGATGTTTGCATAACTGCTGCTTACGGGAACATTCTGCCCCAGAAATTTCTTGATATCCCATCGTGCGGTACGACTGGTTGTCCAGTACCTGTTTTGCCTTTTTGTTACCCAAGTTTTTGCTGTTGTTGCACAATGCACAAGAAGTGCCTCATGTTCAAGCATAAACAGTCAGTCAACTAGGAGTCCACTGTAATTGACTAGGAGGTAGGAACTGCTCTTCACGTTTCCGGGGTAAAATTGAATTTACTAGCAACTACTGCATGTGTACTGCAGTAACATTTATGTGTATCTGGCTATTGCAGTTATACCTGCAATGATTTCGTAACACCTATAATTGTAATTCAGATCTTGAAACTAAAGAAAAAGTGACATTGTCATGGCTTGTATATATAAACATTGGTTCATATGTAGGCTGTATAGGTATGGCATATATTACCATTGGTTTCATTATGGAACTCCCATCCACTTCTCAGATAATCTTATCTTTCCAATGGTAATCAAATAGCTACTGGTTTCTATGCAATACAATGGATTATGAGTTTGTCCTTAGTCAAACTATTCTAAGTCTGACCAGTTTATTTATAGAGAAGTGTATTAACATCCCCCAAATCAATGAGGTAAATTATGAAAATATATCTTGTAATGTATATAGTAATGCTCATTTGATATCTCAAATATCATTGTTCTTTTCTATAAGCTTGGTCAATTAGGACAAACTCAGAATCCATTTCGTTCCAGGACAAAGGTAGTTATCTAAAATATGAAGATTAGGGCCAGGCCTGAGGCATACATTATGATTCAGAGTTCAGGCCATATTATCAGATTCTATTCAGAGTTCATAGTTAAGCTAATTTAGAAGAATTGGTGTTTAAAACCTTAGTTTGATAAAATTTGGGCATGTTGTGTTTTGGGTATTCAAATGCCTCTCAGAGCCGTAAGTCCTGATCATCTGTCATGTATCCTTTTATTTAGGCACAGTTAATATACACCCAAGTTTGTTGCCTCTATATCGTGGTGCAGCTCCTGTGCAGAGGGCACTGCAGGTTTTAATGCTCTCCATTTACAATAAATTGACACTGGAGTATGTGATACCTTTTATTTTATATATTCTTTATTTCTGTAGGATGGTGTTGCAGAAACAGGTGTTTCCCTTGCATATACTGTTCGTGCGTTGGATGCAGGTCCAGTGATTGCGTGTGAAAGGTTTTCTGTTGATGAATGTATTAAGGTAGGTAATATTCAGTATCTTCCTAGTTTGATGTTTCATCTTGACGATCCAAAGTTATATAATAGAAATTCTGCAGTTCTCTTTTTTTTTTAACATGGGCATGGATATATGATTAAAAAATAAATAAATGGTACCAAATGGACATTTAGGCCTCCCTGTTCTTGTTCGATCATATAATATTAAGTGGAGAAATTGGTTGGTGAGTCCCAGGGCCCCATTAGGGATAACTTGATTCGCAAAATTGTGCTTTGGCTGCTCGTTATAAAACTGGATGTCACATGTTGAAGAATTTAATGCATTGTAGATTATGAATTATCACTGTGCATTTGTACTTTATGTGAGGTGCATTTCTGGAACTAAAACCTTCCACTGCTCAACTAACATGATATGATTTTCGTTCTACAATCCACTGAAACACATTTCTTTGCAGAATTTGGTTAGTTAGCACTAAAGAAAAGGTGAAGCATCAGAATATGGCTAGATGTTTGGTTATCAGCATGTTACTATCCTTCATTGATCATATTGTATGTCACTTTGTTTGTTTGCAGGCACCAGAGCTACTTTCTATGCTGTTTGAGTTAGGTAAAGACCACAGACTAACCATAATCTATGAAAGGTCATTATTCTACGTGGTCATTGTCATGAAATTGGTCCTTGTATAACTTCTAGAAGCATACCTGCCCTAATGGCAAGTTTTCTGCTTTACTTTCTCACTCTTAGCTGGGTCTTCAAATTAGTTGTAGTTGACTGAGTTTTGTGAATAAATAAACAGGATGGATGATTTTAGCACTTTGTTTTCTATTCAGACCTGGTAATGCTGATACTTGTATTGACAGGATCCAAGCTATTGATTAATGAACTGCCATCCATTCTTGATGGTTCGGCTAAAGAAAAGGCACAACCACAGGATGACTCCAAAGCTACACTGGCACCAAAGGTAAGCATTGGCAGAAGTAGGCCTAAATGTGTGCTGTCATATGTTACAACTTGATTTAGTCTTCTCATATGAAACCAGAAATATAATCATTAGCTCCATTTAATGACAGGAAAAAACACCATTATCTTGATATCATGCTCAGTGCTATAAAGTTCGACATCATTCAACAAAGAAAAGTCTCAAGTTACATGAGCTTTTGTCAAACTTTCTTCCTGCTGTTTGCTCATAGTCTACTCTAGATGAACCCTTCACTTGTGGTATACTATTTATAAATTGTTTATTTCTTTGGGGTCCCTCTGAACTGATAATGTAGGGACTGGAATTTGAAAGAGCTTCTGTCAAACTTTCTGCTTGCTGTTTAGCTCATAGTCTACTCTAGATGACTCCTTCACTTCTGGTATACTATTTATAAATTGTTTATTTCTTCGTTGTACCTCTGAACTGATAATGAAGGGACTGGAATTTGAAAGAGCTTATTTTACACCAAACTGTTCCATGCCTCGTGGGTTCAGATTTCTAAAGTTATACAAATTCAACACTGTTATTTTGTTGAATTTTAGCCGCCAGTAGTCATACCTGCTTTTCAATGGATAAGATGTACTCCCTCCGTTTCAAATTATAAGTCGCTTTGACTTTTTTGGTTCATCCATTTTGCTATGTATCTAGACATATTATTATATCTAGATGCATAGCAAAATGAATGTACCAAAAAAGTCAAAGCGACTTATAATTTGGAATGGAGGGAGTACTAACTTAATCTTCTGTACCTACTACTGAGACTTGAAATTCTAATCTACGAGCACTTCAAAACTTAGTGGGTTAATGCAGTCAAATGTTTCTCCACGTTTTGATAAATCCTGACTAAACTATCATGAAGAACTGTTTTACTACCTTATCACAGTGACATATGTTTTCCAGTTAAATTCTGAGGAGTCATGGCTATCGTTTGACCAAGAAGCTAAAGTGCTCCATAACAAGGTGAGTTTCTAATTCTTAATGTGTTCAACAAAGCTATTGCCAACCAACTCTGGTAGGTGCGGGCATTTGCAGGATGGCCTGGGACACGTGCAAAGCTGCAACTCGTAAACCAAAACAGTGTACCTGACGTGCTAGAGATTAAGGTTATCAGCACGAAGGTTTCAACATCATGTGTCAAAGTTGGAGATGAAAACGAGATACTATTCTCCGGGAGCTCGTTGCTGATTCCTTGCAGTGGTTCAACCTGGCTCGAGGCATGTATTGAGATTTGCTGACCGATAACAGTTACTTGATTTCCTTATGATTTTCTTCAGTGCATCTAATGGCGCGTATGACAGGTGTTGGAGCTTCAACTCCCTGGAAAGAAAGTAACAAAGGCACAAGATTTTTGGAATGGTTTGCGTGGTCAGAAGCTGATGAAATTGCCTTAGGGAGTCTGCATTCGCAGCACAGCAGTGTGTCTATATGCACAGCAAGGTACATTTGCATGGTTAACATCTAAATGGTAGTGTTACCATATATAACAGATAGATGAGTGTCATGCGACATGCTCTGTTGCCGCATTTTTTGCAGGGTTATTGACGTCAGTCATCCCGCGAACATATGCAGGGGAGCGCTAGAAGCCTATATGATGAGATCTCAGTTTTACTGACTACCTTTTCATTTTTCTGGTAAACTTGGCGCTATGTACTCAGTAAACTGTGCATTAGGCATGTCATATGTATTGCTTCCTCAATTTCAGAAAACACACGAATGGTTAATTGTTTGCTGTAACCATTTCAGTTGAACAATTTTTCACTAATGCCATCGCTAACTGAGCTACAAGCATTTGAGAATTAATACAGTTGTGTGGTGAGTAAAAACTAAAAAGGCAATAATTTGTCGTCCCTTCTTGAGGACGTCGTGGCCCTTTCTGCACAGCTGCATATCTGAATGATCTACGAAATGTCTTGCTTCTATCTCTTGGTCTGATCCATTGGAACAAACTGAAGGGTCTCCATGCCTGGCAGTAACTTATAGAAGTGAAATGTTCATTATATTTTCATTCAAAAGTTGGACACAGAGTTATTTTATACTGAACAAAAATGACCAGGATAAAAATTTGTAGGTATGGGGGACACTGGTATGGGCAGCCCCACCTACCCTACGTCCGTACCCCTCACAGCAAAGGGATAAGGATTAGGAAAGATATTATTGGTAGATTTGATCAGGTTAGTCCCTTAATTCTAGAGATTATTTAGATTCTTAAGGGTCAAGTCTTCTTACCTCCTTTCAGTCAAGCAGTGAAGAAGAATTAAACTATTCCTCCCTATACTTCTGTCAAGCGTAGACTACGGCAATGACCTCTCCGGCTCTCCCCTGTCATCGAGTCGCGGCGAGATTGTAACTTGTAAGCCAGTCCGTGTCGCCAAATGCAGCCTGCCGTGTCCCAGCCAAGCTCCCAACCTACGAGCAGCCAACGCTCCCAACCTACGAGCAGCCCGTTGGCCGGTTCGTATCTTGCTTATAAGTCATGATTTATCAGCCAATAAATAATATTTTTTTCTCACACCAAACCAACCAACAGTATTTTCAGTCATGGTTTATAAGCTAAACCAACCCAAACGAACAGGGCGGAGAACGTGAGCTGTGCACTGCTGGTTAGCCAACTCGACGCATGCAGCTGAGCAACAGTGGTCCACCGTGAGTGGCAGCGCTGCCGCACTGATTTATCTCCCGTGTTCCCCGACTCATGGAGGCCGCGCGTGCCGTGCCAGATTGCCAGCTGACTAGCTGAGTTCTCATCTCCATCCTCATCCTCATATCCACTGTCCACGGTGCTGTTATGGTCTGTTCTTCCCAATTTCTTATTTGTTTGCTTTGAGATCAGTACAAAGAAAGGAACGTACGGTTTACGCAGATCGCAAAAACAACAACGGTAACGCTTATATAGAGTTAAAATAATCACCCTAGCGACGCCCACCTCTCCTTCTAATTTACAAAATACACTCGGTTATGTAATTAACTGATCGCATGCACCGGAAGTGGGAGAAACACCCAAACTGTTTGGAAGGGTCAATTTAGTGATTTACTGACATGAAGTTGTTGAGTAGACATTTGGGGTCTTGTGCACAATCCTGTTTTAACTTTTTTTTTTGACAAACAATCCTGTTTTAACATCGTTCGACGTTCCCCATAGTTTTGTAAAAGAGGTGTGGCAAAAATCATGGAAGCTCGTATTATTATTTATAACATAATTGTTGGAGATGAACAAAAAAATAACTGCTGCTCCTTTGGACTCGCATGAGGCTCCAGGTTCATATCCGGTTCTAGCGCCGGATGTCAAGAAAGGGCGTTCCCTTTGACAAAGTGCTGGATGTGGGCTTTCCATATTTGTGATGGGACATCAGTACATCACATACACAACAAGAAGGATTAAATTGACAACATTTGAGAAAAAATTCGGAACAAAGTGATGTTGTGAAGACTGGAAGCTAGTTTGAATAACCATCTAATGTATATATTTTTTTGTCAATAGATTTATTTCAAGATGTACTTAGTCAATTTAGATTCCTCCATACAAATAAATTTATCGTTTCACTTGTAATAATGTGTCTTTGTAGAATAACAATTTCATACTCATTATGTTCAACTTCATTTCCTGTAGCAAAGTTTATCTTCATATGTAGTGATGTATCCAAGTTCCTTAAAAAATGTTCATGTGAAATAATTTACTCTGTATGTTCGAAGAAACAAACACAAAGTAGTGCACAAAGTTTAGCCAGAGGTGATAACAGAATGATTAATTGCATGCAAGGATTAAATGATGTAGAATCCCATATACAATTGTTTGTAGATGACAAGAAAGAGTGTTACAAACAACCACCGTCTAGTTCAACTTACATTATCCATCTACTCTACTTTTCTAAGGGGTGGGTAGGGTTAAGTTCAAATTCAGGCTCCATTCTTCACAAGATGCCAGATCTGTCACACGCTGGCAAATTCAAACTTGAGCAGGGCCGATACAAACTTCATGTATTCGAATTCTGCCGCAACTTCTGAGCCCGATCTCTCCAGGAACCTTTTTGCATGGCCAGAACCTAAGGACATTGTTTCATGAGTGGCTTCGACACACACAGAAATAAACAAAATGCCAGGAAAACAAACTTGATAGTATTACTTTATCGCTGATGAGGGAGCTGCAAGGTTCATCAGCTTCTATATCTTCAACTTTCCCATGTTCATGATTGGTTTCAAGCTCGTCCCCCCCAGTTTCAGTATCAACAAATGAAATTGTAGGTACACCAAATATAGCCTCATCATGCGCATCTCTTACTTTATCTTCATGCTTTGACTAGGATAGGTGAAGAACAAGGAATGGGAGAAAAAAATAATGGTTAATAATAATGTAAAAAGTGCAGAATATATAACCCATTGCTTTTCACTGTATACCTCCACAGCAGAAAGCCGGAAGCTCTTTCCAATATTCTTCACCAGTGAAGCATCATCATTAGCAACTACAGATACAAAATAAAGGTAAATTATGGGATCTGGGTTCCCAAGCAGAATGCATAAACGGCCACAAATTTTTGTATATATTACTGCACTAAAACCTCTCTAAATGTTAAAACCACCAAGCCTATTATCACAGAAATAGGGCAATCATGTGTATCCCATTTTCAACAGTTTGAAGCAGCTCAAGCAGTTGAATATAGCATAGGAAACCACGCTATGCAAAGGTTCCGGCAGATTCATTCATCACTGATAAATAGCAGAGACACCAAAATAAATTATTCTCCTGCCCACTAAGCCTGAATGATAGAGTGCTGGCATGACATGAGCCATGAATGGAGCTTTTGCCACTGCCCGAACACTCATTTATCATTTCCAACATCTACTTACCAGTGTACACTCCAGAAACTACTACTAATCTTGTAATTCTAAAGATTTTGTATCAATCTGTTAGACAGGAAGATGGGCCTAGAGCCCGGTACAGCTGTGTTGCCTTGGACTCCAAATCTGGCACACCAGTAGATTAGTTGTATTAGGCAAGGATATCAGAAGACTATTCCCATAAGCCGCCCCTATCCGTGCCTATACATACATGTATCATGTATTCCTATAATCAATCTACTAATTCCGCATATCAATCCAACTTACATGTATGAGAGACCAGATTCATTCCGAATTTCTGATCCTTCTTTTCCGCTGCCCCTAATCGTGCCATCTGCCTCTCCATAACCCCGTGCTTCCCCTGCACCACGCCGGTTAACCAGATACACGGAAATCCACCTTGGGCTATGCTGTATTTCTTGGTGACAATTTCATCTCATGGTTCTCCAAGCGTCAAGTTCAGGTATCTTGCTCCAGCATTGAAGCAGAATATCATGATGTGACCAACGCTGGCTCTGAAGCCACTTGGTTGTGTCAATTACTGCTTGAGCTCTGAGTCCCCTTTTGTCAAGCCACATTGGTTTACTGTGACATAAGTGTCGTACTGTCATCTACATGTCTTCAAACCCTGTCCAGCATTAGCGCACCAAGCATGTGAAGATCGATCTTCACTTTGTTCATGAAAGAGTAGCTCTTGGAGATGTTTGCGTTTTTCATGTTCCCACTTCATCCCAGTACGCCAACATCTTTACCAAGAGGTTGCCTTCTTCAGTGTTCAGGAGTTCAGGTCCAGTCTGAAGACTATGGGGGTGTGTTAAGACAGGCGGACGGGCCTAGAGGCTAGAGCCCGGTATGCACGGATGTGTTGCCATGGACTCCGAAGTTTGGCACACCTGTAGATCGAGTTGTATTAGGCAAGGATATTGGAGGACGGTTTTGTTTCCACAAGCCACCCCTATCCGTGCCTAATGTACTCCTATAATCAATCTAGTAATTCAGAATATCAATCCTACTTAAACAATCAACATCGCCTCGTATCTTGTATTAGTTGTCTTGATGATTCTTCAGAGAGGCTATGTTGTTGTGTTGATGATGATGATTCTTCAGAGAATGTAATCATATCTAGGAAAGTATTTTATGCTCAGTAGGCTGTTCTGTTGCTGTACAGTCATTGGACAGTCCCTGCATTAATCTAGACCTCCGTGCTATCACTCTAGCAATCAAGAGCTCAAGCTCCCCAATCCAAACAAAAAGGAAGTTCCTTTTTTCTGCATTGATTGTCAGCCTAAGCTATGCATAAGTCTAGAATGGTTGAACTAATGCAGTCAGTGGACATATGAAAACTGAGCATTCTAGACTCACACTTAAATATATACAAAATGTAGGGCTATTTTGTTGAGCACAAAAACTGAAAAATAAGAGGGCAACTACCAAAATAACAATAACCTCTCAAGGTTAATACATCTTAGCTTTATTGAGGGAATCTGAAAACTTGAATACAGAATGTATTTTAGCAAGAAACATCATGAGATGGTGAAAAGAAAATTACCTTGAACAT